AACCCCCCGGTCCCGCCCCTCCCCCACCGGGCTATAAATAGCCCCGGCCCGAACAAGGAGCGGAGCGGGGAGGCCACGCCCCCCTGGGGGACACGCCCCTTCCAGCAGGACACGCCCACCAGGACACGCCCCGGAGCCCCCCCCGTGTCCCCTGTGTCCCCTCCGGTGGCACGTGTCACGGTGTCCCCAGTGTCACCTGGCTGTCCCCTGGGCCACCTGTCACCTGGCTGTCCCCGTGTCCTCCATGTCCCTCCTGTCACCTGGCTGTGGCCGTGTCACCTGTGTCCCCTCTTGTGGCACGTGTCGCGGTGTCCCCGGTGTCACCTGGCTGTCCCCACACACCCCGTGTCCCTTCTGTCACCTGGCTGTGGCCGTGTCACCTGTGTCCCCTCCTGTGGCACGTGTGACGGTGTCCCCGGTGTCACCTGGCTGTCCCCTGTGCCACCTGTCACCTGGCTGTCCCCGTGTCCTCCATGTCCCGCACATCACCTGGCTGTCCCCGGTGTCACCTGGCTGTCCCCTGGGCCACCTGTCACCTGGCTGTCCCCGTGTCCTCCATGTCCCTTCTGTCACCTGGCTGTCCCCGGTGTCCCCTGGCTGTCCCCGTGTCCCACAGTGCCACCATGTCCCCATGTCCTCTGTGTCCTCCGTGTCCCACACATCACCTGGCGGTCCCTGGTGTCACCTGGCTGTCCCTGCAGTGTCACCTGGCTGTCCCCGTGTCCCCATTCCCATGGTGTCCCCACGGTGTCCCCATGGTGTCCATGGTGTCACCATGGCTGTCCCCACGATGTCCCCAAGGTGTCCCCGTGTCCCCGCAGTGCCACCATGCCGTTCAGCAACACCCACAACAAGTACAAGCAGAAGTTCTCGGCCGAGGAGGAGTTCCTGACCTGTCCCCGTGTCCCCATTCCCATGGTGTCCCCATGGTGTCCCCACGGTGTCCCCATGTCCCCACGGTGTCCCCGTGTCCCCGCAGTGCCACCATGCCGTTCAGCAACACCCACAACAAGTACAAGCAGAAGTTCTCGGCCGAGGAGGAGTTCCCGGACCTGTCCCCGTGTCCCCATTCCCATGGTGTCCATGGTATCTCTATGGTGTTTCTCAGTGTCCCCACGGTGTCCCCATGTCCCCACGGTGTCCCCGCAGTGCCACCATGCCGTTCAGCAACACCCACAACAAGTACAAGCAGAAGTTCTCGGCCGAGGAGGAGTTCCTGACCTGTCCCAAGCACAACAACCACATGGCCAAGGTGCTGACCCCCGCCCTGTACCAGAAGCTGCGCGACAAGGAGACCCCCAGCGGCTTCACCCTCGACGACGTCATCCAGACCGGCGTGGACAACCCCGGTGCGTCCTCGCGGGGGTCCCCAGCCCTCCACGGGGGTCCCCAGACCACTCAAGGGGTCCCCAACCCATCCACGGGGTCTCCAGCCCACCCCAGGGGTCCCCAAACCACCCAAGGGGTCCCCAAATGGTCCATGGGGTCCTCACCCCATCCATGGGGTCTCCAACTCATCTATGGGGTCCCCAGACCACTCAAGGGGTCCCCAACCCACCCCGGGGGTCCCCAGCCCACCCTGGGGGTCCTCAGTCCACCCCGGGGGTCCTCAGCCCATCCAAGGGGTCCCCAAACCACCCAAGGGTTCCTCAAATGGTCCATGGGGTCCTCACCCCATCCATGGGTTCTCCAACTCATCCATGGGGTCTCTATCCCCCCCATGGGGTCCTCAATCCACCCACTGGGTCCCCAACCCACCCAAGGGGTCCCCAGCCCGCCCCAGGGGTCCCCAGCCCACCACGGGGGTCCCCAAACCCAAATTGGGGAGGGGTCCCCAGATTTGGGAGGGGTCTCCAAAATTTGGGAGGAGTCCCTAAAATTTGGGAGGGGTCCTCAGGGGTCTCAGGAGGGCAGGGAAGGGGTGACAGGGACACCAGGGAAGGGGTGACAGGGGCACCATGGGGTGACACCACCGACAGGCACCGCACCGACCTCAACCAGGAGAACCTCAAGGTGGGGGGGACCCCAAATTGGGGAGGGGTCCCCGAAATGTGGGAGGGGTCCCCGAAATGTGGGAGGGGTCCCTAAAGGTCTCAGGAGGGCAGGGAAGGGGTGACAGGGACGCCATGGGGTGACACCACAAAGCCACCAATAAAAACTGACCTCAACCAGGAGAAGCTCAAGGTGGGGGACCCCAAAATTTGGAGAGGTCCCCGAAATTTGTGAGGGGTCCCTAAAATGTGGGAGGGGTCCCCGAATCTTGGGGGGTCCCCAGAGGTCTCAGGAAGGCAGGGAAGGGGTGACAGGGACGCCGTGGGGTGACACCACAGAGCCACCTCAGGAGGGTTTGGGAGGATTTTTTAAGGTGGAAATTTTGGGGATATTTTGGGGATATTTTAGCAGATTTTTTTTGGACATTTTTGTGCTATTTTTGGGGTGAATTTGGGGTTTTTCGGGATGTCCCTGACCCAGTTTTCGGGGCGCAGGGCGGGGAGGACCTGGACCCCAAGTACGAGCTGAGCAGTGGAGCTGTGTCCGAGGGGGATATTTTGGGGTGATATTTTGATGTATTTTGAGCAGAATTTTTGGGACAATTTTGGGATATTTTTGGGGTGACTTTGGGGTTTTTCGGGGTGTCCCTGACCCGTTTTCGGGGCGCAGGGTGGGGAGGACCTGGACCCCAAGTACGAGCTGAGCAGTGGAGCTGTGTCCGAGGGGGAGATTTTGGGGTGATATTTTGGGTATATTTGGGTTATTTTGAGCAGGAATTTTAGGACATTTTTGGGATATTTTTGGGGTGAATTTTGTGATTTTCGGGGTGTCCCTGACCCAGTTTTCGGGGCGCAGGGCGGGGAGGACCTGGACCCCAAGTACGTGCTGAGCAGCCGCGTGCGCACCGGCCGCAGCATCAAGGGCTACTCGCTGCCGCCGCACTGCAGCCGCGGCGAGCGCCGCGCCATCGAGAAGCTGTCAGTCACAGGTGGGGGCGGGGCCAAGGGGGCGGGGCCTGCAGGGGCGTGGTCCGGGTGGGCGTGGCCTGACGGGGTGGGGTTGTATGGTTGAGGTTGGATTGGGCGTGGTCGGGAAATGGGAAATGGGAAATGGGGTGTGGTCAGAGGGGGTGTGGTCACAATGTCAGTGGGGCTGATGTGCCGAAATGTGGGAGGGGTCCCCGAAATGTGGGAGGGGTCCCTAAAGGTCTCAGGAGGGCAGGGAAGGGGTGACAGGGACGCCATGGGGTGACACCACAAAGCCACCAATAAAAACTGACCTCAACCAGGAGAAGCTCAAGGTGGGGGACCCCAAAATTTGGAGAGGTCCCCGAAATTTGTGAGGGGTCCCTAAAATGTGGGAGGGGTCCCCGAATCTTGGGGGGTCCCCAGAGGTCTCAGGAAGGCAGGGAAGGGGTGACAGGGACGCCGTGGGGTGACACCACAGAGCCACCTCAGGAGGGTTTGAAAATCACGGGGGGTCCCCAGGGGTCTCAGGAGGGCAGGGAAGGGGTGACAGGGACGCCGTGGGGTGACACCACAGAGCCACCTCAGGAGGGTTTGGGAGGATTTTGGGGAGAATATTTTGGGGAATTTTGGGGTATTTTGAGTGGAATTTTGGGGATATTTTAGTGGAAATTTTTTGGGATTCTTTGGGGTGACTTTGGGGTGTTTCGGGGTGTCCCTAACCCAGTTTTCGGGGCGCAGGACGGGGAGGACCTGGACCCCAAGTACGAGCTGAGCAGTGGAGCTGTGTCCGAGGGGGAAATTCTGGATATATTTGGTTTATTTTGAGCGGAATTTTTTTTATATTTTTGGGATATTTTTGGGGTGAATTTTGTGATTTTTGGGGTGTCCCTGACCCGTTTCCGGGGCGCAGGGCGGGGAGGACCTGGACCCCAAGACACCACAGAGCCACCTCAGGAGGGTTTGGGAGGATTTTTTAAGGTGGAAATTTTGGGGATATTTTGGGGATATTTTAGCAGATTTTTTTTGGACATTTTTGTGCTATTTTTGGGGTGAATTTGGGGTTTTTCGGGATGTCCCTGACCCAGTTTTCGGGGCGCAGGGCGGGGAGGACCTGGACCCCAAGTACGAGCTGAGCAGTGGAGCTGTGTCCGAGGGGGAAATTCTGGATATATTTGGTTTATTTTGAGCGGAATTTTTTTTATATTTTTGGGATATTTTTGGGGTGAATTTTGTGATTTTTGGGGTGTCCCTGACCCGTTTCCGGGGCGCAGGGCGGGGAGGACCTGGACCCCAAGCACGAGCTGAGCAGTGCTGGGGTCTCAGAGCGGGGGATATTTTGGGGTTTTTCGGCCTATTTTGAGCAGAGCTTTTGGGACATTTTTAGGACTTTTTTGGGGTGACTTTGGGGTTTTTCGGGGTGTCCCTGACCCGTGTTCGGGGCGCAGGGCGGGGAGGACCTGGACCCCAAGTACGTGTTGAGCAGTGGAGCTGTGTCAGAGCGGGGGATTTTGGGGTGATATTTTGATGTATTTTGAGCAGAATTTTTGGGACAATTTTGGGATATTTTTGGGGTGACTTTGGGGTTTTTCGGGGTGTCCCTGACCCGTTTTCGGGGCGCAGGGTGGGGAGGACCTGGACCCCAAGTACGAGCTGAGCAGTGGAGCTGTGTCCGAGGGGGATATTTTGGGGTGATATTTTGATGTATTTTGAGCAGAATTTTTGGGACAATTTTGGGATATTTTTGGGGATATTTCTGGGGTGAATTTTGTGATTTTCGGGGTGTCCCTGACCCAGTTTTCGGGGCGCAGGGCGGGGAGGACCTGGACCCCAAGTACGAGCTGAGCAGTGGAGCTGTGTCCGAGGGGGAGATTTTGGGGTGATATTTTGGGTATATTTGGGTTATTTTGAGCAGGAATTTTAGGACATTTTTAGGACTTTTTTGGGGTGACTTTGGGGTTTTTCGGGGTGTCCCTGACCCGTGTTCGGGGCGCAGGGCGGGGAGGACCTGGACCCCAAGTACGTGTTGAGCAGTGGAGCTGTGTCAGAGCGGGGGATTTTGGGGTGATATTTTGATGTATTTCGAGCAGAATTTTTGGGACAATTTTGGGATATTTTTGGGGATATTTCTGGGGTGAATTTTGTGATTTTCGGGGTGTCCCTGACCCAGTTTTTGGGGCGCAGGGCGGGGAGGACCTGGACCCCAAGTACGTGCTGAGCAGCCGCGTGCGCACCGGCCGCAGCATCAAGGGCTACTCGCTGCCGCCGCACTGCAGCCGCGGCGAGCGCCGCGCCATCGAGAAGCTGTCAGTCACAGGTGGGGGCGGGGCCAAGGGGGCGGGGCCTGCAGGGGCGTGGTCCGGGTGGGCGTGGCCTGACGGGGTGGGGTTGTATGGTTGAGGTTGGATTGGGCGTGGTCGGGAAATGGGAAATGGGAAATGGGGTGTGGTCAGAGGGGGTGTGGTCACAATGTCAGTGGGGCTGATGTGGGCGTGGTCATAAGGGGTGTGGTCAACATGGGCGTGGCCTGAGAGGGCGGGGCTTTAAGAGCTTGGACTGAATGAGGCTGGTTTGGGTGTGGGTGTGGTCTGATGGGTGTGGCCATAAAAGGGCGTGGCCTAATGGGGTGTGGTTGGAGTGGGCGGGGTTCAAATGGGTGGGGGTTAATTGGGGCGGGGCCTGAGTGGGTGTGGCTATGCAGGGGCGTGGCCTGAGTGGTTGGGCCATGTGTGGGTGTGACCATAAGGGGTGTGGTCTAAATGGGCGTGGCCTGGAAACAGCCCAATGGGGAGGGGCCTGCAGCAAGGGAGGGGTGGGGTTTGCGTGGCTGGGCGTGGCCTGGGCGTGTCCAGGCTGGCTTGGGCGTGGCTGGGCAGGGCCAGGGTGGATTTGGGAAGGATTTGGGATTGATTGGGATGGATTTGGGGTGAATTGGGGTTAATTTGGGGTGAATTTGGGACGGATTTGGGGTGAATTGGGATGGATTTGGGAGAGATGGACATACTCAGTCTGGGTTGGGCGTGGCCTGGGCGTGGCCAGTCTGGCTTGGGCGTGTCCAGGCTGGATTTGGGATTAATTTGGGGTGAATTTTGGACGGATTTGGGATGGATTTGGGACGGATTTGGGACGGATTTGGGATGGATTTGCAATTAATTGGGGTGGATTTCAGATGGATTTGGGACAAATGGGCACATCCAGTCGGGGTTGGGCGTGGCCTGGGCGTGTCCAGTCTGTCCTGGGCGTGTCCAGGATGGATTTAGGATTAATTTGGGATGGATTTGGGATGGATTTGGGGTGAATTTCAGATGGATTTGGGACAGATGGGCACATCCAATCGGGGTTGGGCGTGGCCTGGGCGTGTCCAGTCTGGGTTGGGTGTGTCCCGTCTGTCCTGGGCGTGGTCTGGGCGTGTCCTGGGCGTGGCCAGGCGCTGACCACGCCCCCGGCAGCCCTGAACAGCCTGGACGGGGAGTTCAAGGGCAAGTACTACCCGCTGAAGGCCATGACGGAGCAGGAGCAGCAGCAGCTCATCGACGACCACTTCCTGTTCGACAAGCCCGTGTCGCCGCTGCTGCTGGCCTCGGGCATGGCCCGCGACTGGCCCGACGCCCGCGGCATCTGGTGGGCACCCGCGGGCACCCGGGGGGTTCCTAGGGGCATCTGGGGGCAGTTAGAGACACCCGGGGGCAGTTAGAGACACCCGGGACATTCCTGGGGGCAGTTAGAGACACCTGGGGGCAGTTAGAGACACCTGGGACATTCCTGGGGGGTTCCTGGGGGCACCTGGGGGCAGTTAGAGACACCCGGGGGCACCCGGGGGCAGTTAGAGACACCTGGGGGCACCTGGGAGGTTCCTGGGGACACCTGGAGGTGTCTTGGGGACATTTGGGGACAACCTGTGGCACCTGGGGGCACCTGAGGGCACCTGGGAGGTTCCTGGAGGTGTCTGGGGGACATTTGGGGAGACCTCGTGGCACCTGGGGGGGACATTGTGTAGGGAGTGGACAGTGGGTGGTCAGCGCTCTCCTGGCTGTCCTGGCTGTCCGCGTCTCACTGATCCCCCCCTTCTGTCCGTCTGTCCGTCTGTCCGTCCATGCAGGCGGGGTGGACACAGCCGCGGTGGGCGCCGTGTTCGACATCTCCAA